AATGAAACACAAATGAGAATGCACCTGTATGTATTATCAGTAGCTCACCCACTGAGACTGGCTGCCTTTGGGCAAACACCTGAGATGCAAAGCATCTGTGTGTGTGGTGTGAAAGCACAGTCTTCTGAAGACAACTTGAACTACACTTGACTTTTTGTAGACTGCTTAATTCTAAAAACATTTTACACATATTATGCCAGCCTTGAATGTTCTATGTCAGAGTGCACTTGTAGCTATGCAAACTTAATTTCACACATTGTATCATTTGTAAATTTGTCAGAACACAATTCAAAAGTGTGCAGCACATTCTCAGCCTTGCCACAAGGGGTGCTATAACAATTATCAGCACAACTGTCTTCTTCTATTAGCAGCTTATTCAGTCAGGTCAATTACTGTAATGTCAGAGCAGTTTCTTTTAAAGTTATATGGGGGTGGGTGATATGACCAAATCTTATAAACACAGTTTCTGTATGCTTCGGGTGTGTATTAGACTGCGTGAGTACTGCAGCTTAAAGCTGAAATCCGTAACTTTTTTTGGTTAAAAATGATCCGAAATCAATATTTGAGCAAGTACATAACCAGCCAGTGTTCAAAACTATCGCCTTACTTTAGCCCGATTCACAACGGTTAGTTTATAATAATGTTTTCTAATTTGAGTGGTACGGGTAGGTTTTCACGGGAAATTCGAGCATGGCACTGCATCATTACGTCACGTCTGTAAACATAAAGAAGTTGTCCCCGCCACTAGGCTATCACATGTGCGGATCCTGCTAGAATAATGTACAGTATGTGGAAAATAATGTGTTTTTTTAACTTTAAACCGCATAAACACATTTCATTACACCAAATACACAAAATAATGTTCTTTTTAGCAGCATCATATGACCCCTTTAATGCTTTAACTTGTCAAAAACTGTGCGACTATATTTACATACAGTGTTTTACACAAAATAATACAAACTCACACTGCTCAGCCTGTTGTGGCTAGCAACCTGAATAACAACAAATCTGGTGTAAATGTACAGACATTTGAAGGTAACTCTATCGCCCCCTATGGAACTGCATTTGTGGCTGTGTATACAGACTTCCACCCACAAATTATCACCTGTTTACACCAAGGATGATAACTATAATGTTCTAATTCTAATACAATAGGGATGTCCACACAATAACTATAATAATAACGTCACAGTGTAACAATATCAGTTGATTCACTTTCAGAACTATTTTTTTTACTATATTATAGTATTTTTTCAGAACTATAAAAACAATGAGCTTGAGCATTTAAAGCACCAGAGAACATAACTGCAGCGCATGCTTATAATAAATAGAATGATATCTTGTGTTGTTTTGGATACTAATATAGTTATCGTTATCCTTCTTAGTGGGCCTTTAGACTTGGAACACATTTTTGTACTGAATTTGATAAAACAAACAAAACAAAACAAAATAAATCAAGAAATTTTAATTGCATGATTATGATATGTTTCGGGAGTCAGTTTTAAGGCCCAAAGAATTGGGCTATAAACCCTTGGAAATCAGATCAAATCTAAGCAGCCTACATCAATGTTTCTTTGTGCCTGTGCCCTTGACTATGAATGAGGCGTATATGTGCTGATGAAGAGAGGAAAAAAGGAAAAGAGCAGGAGAAGAAAAACAGGAACTCCCTAAGGCCTTTCATAGGTTACACAAACAGAAGCAGTACCTGAGAGTCCCCTTTGAACCTGGCATCAAACAGACACATGTACATGGAAGCACATGCCTCCAGATCTCAGACCATTGGCCATTATTGTAGACAGGAGGATCAGTGTTGAGCAGCATTTAGCCCAGTTTAGCACTCCATTTGGACTCAAATAAATCAAGGCTGTTGGAGAGAGGCCTCCATTATGAGTGCAGGGGCCCCGCAGTAAGCTGTCATTCACTGGCCAGCCACCTTCACCTTTCAACTGCTAATTACAGGGAGCCACACAGCTCACAGTGAAACGCACACACATACAGAAGCCTTTTTAAAGCTCTCTTACGAGGAAAAATATTTGTGAAAAACATAGACGGTCGGTGCTCTCTAGACCTCAACACATCTCTCAAGAATCACATTCCTCAAGAATTCTTGTTGATCCCGAATTTAGAAGCAAAGGGATTTATCCACACAAATAAATGATCAGAGGAATGAGAGTGGGGTTAAGAAGGAATGAGCAAGTGAAATCTTATCTGCCCACAAGCATCCAGAGCATCAGACACATGGTAGATGACAACCCACAGACTGTTAATGTGTAATGATGGAGATGCATCTACTTTCTATGAGTGACATGAACATGATGTGTAACAAAAAACATGTCATCGGAAAAGCATGTCAACAACTCAACAGTGTATTCATCTCTGAATCCTGAAAGTTTTTTTTAAAGCAACTGTGCAATGCTGAATTTGGTAACAGACATTCAGCGCCTTGTTCTAAATGCCAGTCAGAAACAAATCTAATGGCTAAGAATGTACACTACTGTTTAAAAGTTTGGGGTCAATTAAATTTTGTATGTTTTTAATAGAAGTTGTATGCTCACACAGTCTCCATTTATGTGATCAAAAATACATTAAGAACAGTAATATCGTGAAATATTATAACAATGTGAAATAATCATTTTCTATTTGAATATATTTTATATTTTCAGCAGTCATTACTCCAGTCTTCAGTGTCAAATATTTCTGTGGAAACCATGATTTATTAATTTTTTTTGGAGGGAACAAAATTTAAGAAAAAACACCAAATGAAATGTATTGTATGTCTTTACTGTCACCTTTGATATATATATATATATATATATATATATATATATAATGTGTCTCTATTGTATAAAAATTTGTTTTATGTGCCCCTATTAGACACAGACACAGAAACAGA